CTACTACTACTACTACTACTACTGCTACTACTACTACTACTACTCCTGCTACCTAGTAGTAGTAGTAGTAGTAGTAGTAGTAGTAGTAGTAGTAGTAGTAGTAGTAGTAGTAGTAGTAGTAGTAGTACTACTGCTACTTCCACTACTACTTCCGCCACTACTACTACTACGACTGCTGCTGCTGCTGCTACTACTACTACGACGACGACGACGACTACCACTACCACCGCTACCACCACCACCACCACTACAACAAAAACGACAACTGCTAGTACTACTACACTACTACTGCTACTGGTTTTGCTACTGCTACTACTGCTACTCCATCACGACGACGACTACTACTATAGCACTACTACTTCAAGCGAACCCATGCCCTGGCGCAAGTGTTGCTACAGTACAAGACCAAGTACCGCAATAGGACACAAGCAAATCATTTATGGTCACGGCATGAACGAGGAGCTCATATGGACGTAATGGATATGCTAGAACTGGCCAAGGTCCTGTCGAAGCAGAGTGGCAAGATCTTGGATGTATTTTCTTGTCGGCTCATGTTTTGTCCTCGACCTTCCTGCTGGCTTTTGCATTCTTCTCTTGGGACTGATGCGACTCCGCTGAACCCTTTTAAGCGATACACGGACGTGTCGTGCCACAGGTCACAGGTGCTTCGTGTCCATGCCCTAGTGCTTGTCGGAGCCTTTGACAGGTGCTGGAGAGCTTGAAGTCGTTCCTCTTTGCCCGTATCGCCTTTTCCTGCCTTGCGTGCGGCACCGCGATCGGCGTCCCCGAAGCAAAGGCCAATGGACAGGTTTTGGCAGTAGCTGCTTCGAACTCAGAACATGCTTCGGACAGCCGCTGATAAACGTCAACGCACAAGAAAAGCAGCAACATGCGGTGTTAGTCTGCGTCTCCTGGCCCCATAGAGGCCGCGAAAACCTCACGTCCTGCATAGCTCAATTGGGTCGCATCTGGGCATCGTGGCTGCAAGTGGCATGACAAGCAAAAGGAGCCACCGATCCACTGATCTACATAAAAGGGGCCTCCTCCGCTTCTTCCAAGAATTCGTCGTATGATGCATTCCGACTGAGTCCAGCGATGGGCCAAAACACAAGGGGCTCAATGGCTCAACAAGGATTTGGTCTGTGTGCAAGCATCTGTAACACATGTTGGACAGTTTAAGAAACGTGTACAGGACAGCGTTGTCGAAGATCTGCCCAGAAGCTGATGCCTGTCCACGTCGTCTGCTAGCGAGGTATTTACACCTCCCAGCTCGTGCGGCTCGCTTACGGCGGCACCCCGCGTATGTGTTGTCGACCCAGCAGGAGCTGCACTCAGGGAGCGTTTGCATGGGCCCAGGGGATAGTCGGATAGCCCAGCATGCCCCAAAATCCAGGACCGGTGGGTGTTGACGGCCGGGCTGCAGAGGTGGTCGTCACAGGCCATTGGGCGTTCATGGTCCATAGCTTCATTCCAGCGCCTTGATGCTGGGGCGCTAAACTGGCTGCTTCAGTTCCGGTTGCATGCTGCGAGTGAGCGGCCAGCAGTGCCAGCAGCCACACTAGCAGTAGCTTATGAGCACCACCTCTGCCCACCTCTTCTTCGCCATCCTCATCATCATCATCACCCACCGAAAATTGTCGACTTTCCAGATTCCAGGTGGAAAGGTTGCTCTCCCACCAAACACTTTGGTCCAGTTGGTGTTGCCTTCGACCTACTTCCGTGGCTTGGCTGGCGGAAAGCAAGTTTGCGACGTGGGCAACGGACAAGCAGCAGCTACGGGATGATCTCGTACAAGTTCTTGCAGCCTTCAAGCTTTTTGTAGGGGAGTTGCGACAGTCGACGGAAGGTGGCTGACCGTAACACCCTTTGTGAAAAGTCATCTTGCAGGAAGGTGGAAGAAGCATAACTTCGCACTGCAGGAGGGGGCCAGCATTAGGCCATTATGGGTGGGATAGCTGCCAACTGCCCACTAGGTCCCGGCGACGTGAAGTCACCATTGCCGCGCTGCTGCTTGCCCGGATGTATTCCTGTCTCCCTGTGTTAGCAAGTTTAAGCTGTGTTCCTGTGAATCGGTGACAGTCTAATGGTGACCGGCATCTGTTTGTCTGAGGCTCCGATCTCTCTGCTGCCGAGGCCGAGCGGTGTCGGTTGACACTTGGACACGATTCTATCGGTGCTTGGTGTCTTGTCCATCTTCTTGGTCTTCTTGCATCGGGTGAGGACGCCTTGCAATCATTATTAGGTTGAGTTGCGTCTCCGGGGCCGGATCGCATGGACTTACGAGGATTCCTTGTGCAGGCTTCCGCCAAGCCCCAACAGAGTCCACCACGACCACACTGCTCTTAGGATCCACTGGTTGCAGCCTCGCTACATCCGAGGCTGCCTTATCTTCTCTCACTCCGTCGGCCTACCTGAATCTGCGCGTGTAGAAAACACGGCGGCTTCGGAAGCCGCCAAAGCCCGGTCTGGGAAGACACAAGACGGAGGCTTTGAATGAGGGAGAAAGACATTTGTGGCAAGCACCTCCGGCTTGTGGACTTCGAGAAAGGAGCATGGCGTACAGGCAGACCCTGCAAGTTAATCTGTAACACCTGCGAGCAAGTCTAGGCCGTGTAAGCTGTTAACGGATGCCTACTTTCTCCTGCAAGCTTCGCACTGCAACTTGAACTTAGCTGTTGAGGGAAGTCGTGGGGGAGCTGTTCCAGGACTGTGTCTGACCGCATGAAGCCCTCGCCAGTTAACTCCTAGACCAAGATGCAAGCCGAAGCTGTGCTGCCTGCCCTTGACCCACTGCCTGAACGTGAATGTGAAGATCCATCAGTGATTCCGGTGTTCGTCCGAGACTTCGGTACCTGGTTTCCACACCATGGTGCCTCGGGAGGTCCGTTGTAAGGCTTGTCCCCTGGCTCCTCGCAAGGATCCTTTTTTTCACAAGGCTTGTGTAGATTATTGGGGCCAGGACGGTTGTCGCAGCCTTACTTGGCCAAGAGAGTCAACTGAAGCGGAGAGGTTCCAAGAGCCCTCGCCCAGCGAGACCCATGCAGCAGATCATGGAACCCACAATGGAGGCTCCAAGATTCGACTGCCCGGCTTTCAGCATGTTGCCGGAGGTGCGAGGTGCTTGCCGCCGTGATGAGCGGCACCGAGCAGCGGCACCGAGCAGCGGCACTGGAAGAAGGGGGAGCGAAAGGTCCACGGCGGTGGCCTGGAGATGTCTGATCGTAGGATGTTGGATCATCCTGCCCGACATCGTGCTGGTCGGAGAAATGCAGAGCTTGGAGTGGCCGGCAGCCGTGGAAAAGGAGTTGTTGTGCGACGCAGTAGTCCTGCAACACGACAATTGGGCCGTGAGCAAGTCGAGTCAAGTTTGCAGTGGGAGCGATGCAGGGACACCGCGCCGTCAACCGTAGCTTTGTGCAGAAATCATCCCGAATCATCCGCTGAGTTTGAAAGACGACATCGAAAGCTTTCTCGCAAGACTTCCATGATCCAGCACAGTGGCTGCTAAGGCCCAGCTGCAGCTCGCTGCAGTGACCACTGACAAGGCGGCAAAGTTGGCTTATGCTTTAATTGCGAGACAACTACCCGAGTAGCTCTTTTGCAGGGTTTTGTAGGCTTGTAATCAACACATCCATAGGCCCAGTGGCAATGTTTGACTTGCCACCCTCCACTTCAGGCCCTTGTCTTCAGGTCTTCAAGATTTCACTCTACAGTGCGTGGCTTAGAAGCGAGGCAGGCCAAAACAATCGATCCCAAGCCTACCAAGGAGAACCCGCCTGACGTCCCGCGAACGCTCCCCCGATAAGTTGTCCCATGTAGGGCAACCTGAAAGTCCGGGTCGTGACCCGCAAACCTGACGTGGTCTTGGAGCTAAAGCATAAATTGTAAGTCAAGTTTGCCACCTGGGGTCACGAAGTTTTCTGGAAGTGGCCTTGATTGATTTCGCACCGACAAGATGTCGGGTTTTGGCTCGTTTTTATCGTACAGTATCGCAAAAGCCCTTCCTTGCACCTTTGAGTGCCGGTCGCCAACCCAAGCTGGACCTCAACGTATCACTGTGCCTTTGCAGGGTATGCGTGGAGCTGCAGAGGCTCGTTCTCGGAACATGTTTGGCATCTGGGGGGCAGGTAATGGGCAAGGTCGAGGCTCAGCGTATTGTCAGGTTGTTTTCGATTTGCCTCGAGTTTAGCTACGGGTGTTCAAGGCTGGGTGAGAGTTCGCCCGACGAAGCATGCCCTGTCCACAGGCCGGTCTTCCCACCATACTTTATACATCATTATATACCATGTTCCTGCCAGACACCGTCAGACTTGTCGATGTTTGCGGTGCGACAGCTAGCGGAACCGAATGCTCGCGAGGTTCGCCTCATCTGGCATATTTTTTCGAAGACGTGACGGACTTAGCCTTCCTGAAGGCTTTCCAGTACGTGTAGGTTTCGATCTTCCGGTGGAGGCAGTTCCCAGGTGTAAAGTTTTGGGCAAAGGGAGCACCTCACACAGATCGGGATTTGGGTGCATCGGCCCGGCTTATCTTTATAAGATTCGATGTTGGTCTACGATCTTTTTCCGGGTGCCGCTGGGGACTTGGTCCGATGCCTGCTGCGCATGGACCCATGTCAGGGGGAATGTAGACCTGTATTGTGCGTTTCCTGTGTTTTCTTCCGGAACTTTGATGCTCCCAGAAGTGCTTGAGGCCTGAGACGTCATGCCCCGTCGCAACCCCTGCAAGTACATAGCTTTCCTGCTGCTGATTATGAAGAGGCTTTCCGTCCCCAAACAGCGTGAAAAGTCCGGGCAGACCAGTGGCTCGAGATCCCCGCACCTCCGAAGAGATCTGATGTTGAGGAAAGTGGCCATTCGATCCTGGGGGAAGTATGTTCCGTGGCCTGTCGTGCCGCTTGACCTGCGTTGGGCTGCTTCTGTGGCTCTTTCAGGAATTTCGGCATCCTCAATCAGAGTTAGCAGCATGGGTTCGGTTCGGCACTTGCACGTGCGAGGAAGCTAGAGCTCAGGTCGTGGATGTGGCTTCAGGCTTCAGGATTTCGTTGTCACAGTGCAAGATTTGTTCGTGAGGTCCAGTCCGTCAGCATGGTCCCGTTCAGAGAACGAACGTTGCATCTGACAGGACCAAAGAGACAGAGAGAGAGAGAGACTCAAGCGTAGCGCTGCGGCGCAGGTCGGGTTGGGGCGCGTCTCCCATTTCCTCCAAACGCTTTGCAAGCAAGCAAGCAAGCAAGAGAGAGACCCGCAGGTGCGCGGAAGGGGCAAGGTCTGGCAGACTAGTGCACATTTGGCAGAAGCCCAACTATCAGGCCAGATGGTTTAACTTGAAGTTCCACCTTTTATCAGATCGAGGATACGCGGGAGCTGAGGCAAAATCTTCTTGTCGCCGGAGAGGAGGTTCGGCCCAAGATCGAAGAGCGAGAGGCCTCTTGGCCTTGGTGAGGCTGTGAGGCTGTGGCCGCTGCGGGAAGTCGGACAACAGAACCGTGTTGTCTTTCTCCTCCTGGTTTCCCAGTACTTGATCATGTGGTCGTCCTGTTACCTAGGGTTAAGTGGTCAGCGGTTTACATGCCACGCTGGTAACATTTTTTTAATTTTTCTTTCTTCATGTTTGATTCTGTTGTTTGTTGGCTGCTTGTTCTCTTCGCGCTTCGGAGTTTTGCGTGGCTGCAGCCAAGAGTTTAAGCACGACTCCATGAAGACATGGAAGCAAGAAAAGCAAGATGCAAATTCGGTTTGAGGAGAAGTGGGGAAACTGCTTGAGGGAAGCCTTGCGATAGCAGGGAATTTCGGTTGTTAGCCGTGACGGCAATGCAAAGTGCCAGTACCGTGCATCTTAGTTTCGTGGATTGCGTGAGTTCTGCTGAGTTTGCAGGTGAGGCTGCTAAACACCGGCCCTACACTGCGCGAAATGTCTTCCGCTAATAAATCAAGAAGGCTTCACTTCCATCGGCATCCTAACGTTCATGGTCACAGAGGTATCAGGGGTTTGGTGCTGGTTGACCCGGAAATCGCCAAGCGAATGTCATGGTGATTCGTGCTGCTGCCGCATACCCCTACATCATGTCGGGGCTGTGGCGAACTCCGAATCAGCAACAGAAAGCTGACTTGACAAGAGAAGCCAAGCTTTGAACGTCACCTAGAGGGCACCCCAACCGATGATGGCATTTCGAGCCCTTCAAGCTGCAACATTTCAGACACGATCTGGCCCTGCATTCCCACTGTCTAGCTTCAGGATTAGGCATGTGGTGAAGTTTCTTCCGAGGCCAGCGTACCAAAAAGGCCAACTAGCCGAGGTGACACTCTTCTTCTCAGACATGGCCTCGTTCACAAGCATCTCGGCAAAAGTCATGCCTGCTAGACAGGCCATCCAACATACCGAATGATGGTTGCGCTTGGGCCTGCCGATGCACTAGGAAGATCTCATGCAAGGAAAGCATCTGAACCAAAAGCGGTACCTGCACGAACGGCCAGCCCAAAGTACCCCCAAACTTGTTGCTTCCATCATTGGCTGCAGTTTGAAAGCGGAGGTTCATACCATTGCTGCATTGCCTGCAGCATGCACTCCGATGTCAGCAGGTTACAGGTTCCAGGTGACTCTGGGCGACATGTCAGTTTGCCTGCAGACACGCTTGCCGCAATTTGTTTTGAGTGAGCACAACAAGCATTCAAGCAAGGACCAGCAGACAGGCATATCCACTTTCCTGAATCCAACCAAGAGTACGCCCATCTTGTCGACAGTGTGGCAACAACGGCTTCCGTCACGGCGCCGTGGTGGTCTGCATTTCCGATGAGGGACCACCGGGGTCTTTTCTTTTTTTTTCTCTCTCTCTCTCCCTCCCAATCTGGCTCTTTCAGCTATAAGGTATTCAGCCACCCGATGAAACCCAAGGGCCCCTTCTCTTCGCTTTCTGGAACCTCCGACCCCCACCTTCGCGTGCGTGTGGGAGACATGACAGGAGAAACGGGCAGCAAACCGCTCGACAAGGACAAGAGCATTTGAGAATCAGGAAGCAAACCGCTCGAAAGGGACTAGAGTACATGAGAAAGAGTAGGCAAGCCGCTCGAACAGGGCTAGAACTTTTTTTGCAAAAAGAACAAGCACGCTGCTCCCAAGGGATTACAGTATTTGAGAGACAAAGGCAAAGCGCTCGAAGGGGATTAGACCATTTCAAGAAGCAAGGAACAAACCGCTCGAAAGGGACGAGAATGCTTGAAAACTGGCAGCAAACCGCTAGCAAACCGCTCGAAAGGGACTAGAGTACATGAGAAACAATGGAGCAGACTGTTCGAGAAGGCCTAGAGTACTTGCGAAACAAGGAGCAAGCCGCTAGAAGGGGACTAGAGTATTTGAAAGACAGGGAACCAACCGCTTAGAGTATTCATTGCAGAATCAGGGAGTCCGCTGGAAAGGGAGCAGAGTCTAGAGTATATGAGAAACAGGGAGCGAACTGCCCGAAAGGGGCCAGCGTAGAGTAGTTGAGAAAGATGGAGTGAACTGTTCGAAAGGGACTCGAGTTTTTGAGAAACAAGAGTTTTGGAACAACAGGGAGCAAGCCTCTCAAGGGTACTAGAGCATGTGAAAAGCGGGGTACAAACCACTCGAAAGAGACTAGAGTATTTGAGAAACACGGAGCCAAGGGCTCGAAAGGGCCCATGGCATTTGCGAAGCAGGGAGCAAACCGCTGGAAATTGAGTAGGGTATGTGAGACGCAAGAAACAAACCGCCCGAAAGGGATTAGTGTTTGACAATCAGGGAGCAAATCGCTCGAAATCGAGAAGGCCTAGAGTATTGCAGAAACAGGGAGCGAATCGCTCGCAAAAGACAAAAGTGTTTGAGAAACCAGGAGCAAACCGCTCGACAAGGACTAGAGCATTTGAGAATAAGGAAGCAAACCGCTCGAAAGGGACTAGAGTACATGAGAAAGAGTAGGCAAGCCGCTCGAACAGGGCTAGAACTTTTTTCCAAAAAGAACAAGCACGCTGCTCACAAGGGATTACAGTATTTGAGAGACAAAGGCAAAGCGCTCGAAGGGGATTAGACCATTTCAAGAAGCAAGGAACAAACCGCTCGAAAGGGACGAGAATGCTTGAAAACTGGCAGCAAACCGCTAGCAAACCGCTCGAAAGGGACTAGAGTACATGAGAAACAATGGAGCAGACTGTTCGAGAAGGCCTAGAGTATTTGTGAAACAAGGAGCAAGCCGCTAGAAGGGGACTCGTTTGAGAAATAGGGAGTATTTGAGAAGCAAGGCGCAAACCGCTCGAAAAGGAGTCACATGTTTAGAAGCAGCATGCAAACCGCTCGAAAGGAACTAGAGTCCAGGTTTTTTGAGAATCAGGTAGCACACCATTCAAAAGATACTAAGAGTATTTGAGAAACAGGGAGCAAACCACGCCAAAATGACTGAACTGTTTGAGACACAGGAAGCAAACCGCTCGAAACTGACATGGGTATTTGAGAAACAAGGGGCCAACCCTTCGAAAGGGACTAGAGTATTTGAAACACAGGGAACAATTCGCTCGAATTTCAGGAAACAGGGAACAAAGCGCTCGCAAGGGACTGATTAGAATGTTTGAGAAACAGTGGGCAGACCGTTCGAAAGGGCCTCGAGTACTTGAGACACAAGGAGAAAACTCCCAGTTTTCAAATACTCGAGTATTTACATAATTGGGAGCACACCGCTCGAAAGGAACTTGAGTGTTTGAGAAACAAGGCGCGAACCCCTCGAAAGGGACTAGGGTATTTGAGACATAGGGGGCAAACCGCTCGAAAAGTGACTAGAGTGACTAGAGTATTTTGAGAAATTGGGAGCCCACCGCACGAAAGGGACACGGAGTATGTGAGAAACATGGATCGCTCGCAAGAGACATAAGCGTTTAAGTAACCAGGAGCAATCCGCTCGTAAAGGATTCTTGTATCTGAGAGACGGGGAGCAACCGCTCGAAAGGGACGAGAGTTTTGAAGAAACAGGGAGCAGGCCGCTCGAAAGGGACGGGAGTATTTGAGAAACAGAGAGCAAACCGGTTGAGAGGGACGAGAGTATTTGAGAAACAAAATGCAGAACGGCCGGAAGGGACTGCAGTATTTGAGACGGGGAGCAACCCGCTCGAAAGGGGCCAGAATATGTGAGAAGCAAGGAGCAAACCGCACGAAAAGGGACTAGGCCTTTGAGAAAGGAGCAGCAAACCGTTCGCAAAACGCAAAATGTTTGGGGAACAAGGAGCAAACCGCTCGAAAAGGACTGAGGTATTAGAGAAAAGCAGAGCAGCAAACCGCTCGAAAAGGATGAGAGTGTTTCCAAAGCGGGAATCAAACCGCTCGAAAAGGAGCTAAAGTGTTTGAGACAAAAGGAGCAAAGCGCTCGAAACGGGCTTGGGTATTTGAAAAACAGGGAGCAAACAGGCGAAGGAGGCGAGAATATTTGAGATGCAAGGAGCAAACCGCTCGACAGGGGAGTCGAGTGTTTGAGAAAGAGGGGCCGCTCCCAAAACACCAGTGTACTTGAGAAACGGCGAGCAGGTAGCGGACTTCGGAGTGAGCGGAAATGGTGGCCAACGCAAGTGTCCCGACTGGCTGGCGAAAAAGTAATTGAAAGAGTGACATACAAGATGTACAGTGAGGGTTCGACTGTCACTGTCAGGGATAGGAATTTCTTGACCTTGGCAAACACCCGGCCCAGAGATGGAAAGAATGGAAAGGCCGAGTGGAGTCCAAATTGCGCCACAAGCCGCAATTGAGGCATGCGAAGAGGAGTGAGCCCAGACATTGCAATTCGCAAGTTGGCAAGCCTAAGCCTAAAACAGCGCTGCGCGCGCCAAGCTACCCGGGGGCAACACACAAAAAAAGAGCCAACTGGTTGACTTTTCTGGTGAAGACCTTTGACAACCGAAACCACGAACCTTTCCGACGCTTCCCCTGCTATCTGGGGTTTTCGCCGGTCCAGTTTTGTTTGTGTGTGTGTGCGCGCGTCTGTCTGTGTGCTGTGTCTGTGTGAGGGGGGGGGGTGAAATGGGCCGTCAGCCTGATGCGAAATTAGAAATGTGGAGGTTTGCGGGCATGGAACTCACAGTGACTGTGCTGCCAACAAAACATCCTTGAAGTCACATCACAGCACACGGATTACAAAACAGCAGTCTTGCGTTGCCTGCGCCTGATGCAAACACAGGCTCCATATATTTGCCGTGCAGACTTCGCGAGGGAGATTCAGATTGGCTTTTTGCATGGGGGGCCATTTCGATGGCCTTCATCAGGCCTTCATGCCATGGCTCAGGTATAGTCGAAAAGCTGGAGCCAGAGCAGACACTCCTTCTGCTCAGCCGATACTTCAACGACATGTCCGACGTGTCACTTGCTTGCAAACGCAGACGGCTGTTAGCTCATATCCGAACGCATGCTTGGTACATTATTGCTGCATGAAACTCAGCAATGGCTTGCCGAACAAATGTTCCATCGTGCATACCCGAACTTCGTGGAACGAGCACGTGCTTTCGCAGCATGCGACGGATGCATTGGCATGCCACGGCTCCGTTTGTTCGGGGTGGCAAAGGCAGGTCTCGAGTTGGCCCGGGCAAGAACCACTTGCGCCACGATCACCTCTACGAGCTTAGTTGCTATCCTAGGCTATCCTTCCTTCCACAAAATCTGTTTTGGCTGTGTTTGTTTCTGCGTCTGTTGGTCGGTCGCTAGCAGATCCTGAAATGCTTTTGGACACTGACCTGGTGAGGATTGATAAGTTCGGCGGCATTGTCATCGAGTTCATCGGTGATGCCATCTATGCGGTCTTCGGCGCACCAGTACGAAACCGGGAGCATGCAGAGGTACCACCTTCTCGTTCCCGTTGCTGCTGAACTTGTGAACAACACAGCAAACCACTTTTTCTGGTCTTGCTGCAGCTATTGGCAGTGTGGCTTTATTCCTACTCGTAGTGTCACTCGTGCCACTATAGTGAGAGCAGTGGTGGTTCCCAGGCCGGGTGACGCTCTCATGTTTGCTTTGCAGGGCTCACGCTCACAAGCGATGAGTTGAGCTTTCGGTAGCGGCCAGTTCCAGCACACCTTGTAATCCCGCAGGCAGGTGTGAACGCCATGCTGAAGATGCTCAAGACAGTACAGCGCATCAACCAGTGGGCGAAGCACCGACTTCTTCCAGAGGCTAGCAGGTTGGGAAACTGTCTCTTCGAAGGTCTGGGGCCGTGTTCCGTGAGAGTTTCAGGGAGGATTGCTGTCGTCCAGCAACTTCCACAGACAGCGGCTCCAGACCAAACGGGGCTTGTCGGTTTCCCTTCGAGGAAGCAGAACCACCTCTCCAGGTCAGCATCCGCTGCGGCGTGCATTCTGGCCCTGTGCAAGTCGGAAATATGGGCTTTCACTCGCGGCTCAAGTACGGAGTCATGGGTGCCTCGGACGTTGGCTATATAAGTTTTTCTCGGTGCCCGCAGACTTGGGAATTCTGAGTGGCCTCTGCCAAAACCCTTCGAGAGTTCATAGTAGGCTGCAGAAAGCTGAAGCTCGCCTTTCCTGTGCCTGCTGTTCCATGGCCCCGCTTCAGGTTCCGGTGCAGAGATTCCTTCCAAGTTGGAGGAGCCTTGAAATCCAGGGGCCGAGAAGTGAAGTTCGTGGTCGCGCGAAAGTTTCGCTGTAGAAGCAAGCACAGGACCTATCCATCCGCCAGCTTGGGCCGTCTGTCCGGTTCACTGGCTTCTAGCAGTTCTTGACGTGTCATCCACAAGCTGATGCCAGGAGATGAACAAGACCTACGGCACCCATAATCTCATCTCTGAGTCGACCTTCCACAAGCTTCCTCCGGATGGGTCTCCCGCCTGACACTCGTGCTAGGGCCTCCGTGGGAAACTCGCCACTAGTCACTAGTCGTCTTTCGTTTGTGCCACCTGGGGGCTGAGCTTCTGCTGCCCTGACGTATCGAAGACGGCTGCTGTGGAGGTATGTGATGAGACCCATAGACTTTGTGGACATGTCGTGCCTTGGCACGGTTAACGAAGTTTTGTCAACCAGGACTGTCTGCAGAGCTTGGCTTCACCCTCATCACGACTGCATCTGCTGCGCGATCAGTTACCCGATCACATTTGAGATATTCCCAGAACTGCGCACAGTCAGCCAGTAAAACCGCGAGAGCGTGTGTCACAAAAGCGTTTGGAGGAAGATGCCATCAATCCATGTCCTGATGCCATTCCGACATCTCGAGCAGGGTCAAAATGCTTCCCCGGAGGTACTGGCAGGATTCGCAGCATGACATGGTCCTGTAAACTCAGCACGGCACCACGCGCGGCGACCCCTTGCGTGCACCCAGACGGCTTTCACGACCGTGAGGCAACTCCATCGGAAATCATAATCAATGATATGAATGGACTGCGCTTGCCGGACAGGGACTCGTCAGAACACGTATCACCACTGCACCATGCGCTTTGCACCCATGTGCACGGCCAAAATGGTTCCTACACGGCGCGATTCAAAGACTTGGCCAGGCGCGAATCGTCCCGGCAACACACTCGCAGCACATGTACTGGCGAGAGTCACGGCCAACATGCTTCCCCCAGGGACTGACTTTCTTTTGTGTGTTATTGGTGGGGTTCAGACACTTCGAGGCCAAAACCAACGCGGCACCACACGCGCAGAGCTCGGACACACCGGCAACACCGAGAGGGTTGTCATGTTGAGACCAACGTGAGGCCAATGCAGTGCAGTTTACAATGGGTCGAGCTTACAGAAGGATGCAGACACGCCGGGATCTCCAAGAGTTTTCAATTCGGAACATGAGTCGGAATCACACGATATTCGCCATTTGGCTCCGCCAAGCGACAGCGGAGGACCAAATCCGAGAACAAATCGTCACGGAAACACGAGTGAAGCGCAATTTTACGATGCATGGCGCCTCCCGCTAGCCCTGCCCCATGTGTTAAAAATGTTAAAATTCGGCTAAAGATGAGAGACAGTCTCACCAAAACACGTTCTTACGAACACCTATGCCGCGCAACCTTACGCCATGCAATCTCGCGACAACTGAAGGGACAAAGCTGACATCAATCGCATCACCACATCGTGCCATCCAAACAACGTCAGCGCATCACGCCATCCAATCCAAACCACCTCCACGGACAAACACCTTGTCCATGCTTTCGCGAATGAAATGCAAAAGGATTAAAAAAAGGGCTTTATGGTGAAGTTTGCGGCTGTTCTCAAGAGGAGAATGCACGGGCTCACCCGCGATGATAAGTTACCTCAGCTCCCGCAGCGAATTCTGCTAACACCCGAAGCGCCAGCAGGCATGGTGCAGCTGATCCGGAGCCAGTGTACGAGGCGCAAGTTGGTGCAAGTGGAACCTATCCTGGAATCCTCTCCCAGACCTTAATTCGCCAGACCAACGCTTTGCCGAACCCAAACTTCTTCGTGTCCTGTGTCCTCCGAAGAAGGGATCGAGAAAAGACGACAAGAGTGAGCACGATGTTCGATCAGCCAGCTCCAAAATAGAATCCGATGAAGGTACCGGCTTTCACAGATACAAGGGCTGTGCTGGGCATGAACATAGGATGCCGTCTCGTGGGGGCACGGGCAGCGGGCTGTTTGCAAGTTTAAGGTTTAACAGGTCATGAGGACAGAGACACCGACTTTGACGAAGCCCACTAAAAGCATCGTGTCACGACTTGAGACAGAAGACTTTTTTGTTGCGTTCGCTGTGCCGGGGATTTCTGTCACGAGGTTTACCTCATCCATATCCGATCAACAGCCTTGAAGCTGTCACATCCTTGAGCCTTTACACAAAACACAGGCCTCCCGAAGAATGTCAACTCGTGCGACTGGTAGTGAAAGTTGTTGGGATCTCTCGTACGTGTTGCAGTTTGGTCGGGCTGTCTGGTTTGCAATATCATGCAAGATCTGTCTGATGTTGCGGAGATTGCCCGTGTTCAGCAGCCCAGGTTCCCGTTTTGAGTGTAGACGGGAACCTTGCAATCATCGCTGCTTTCTCTGTTGCAGATGCAGCGAAAGCTCCGTGCAGACATCGTGTCAGGTCATGAGCCAAATCGCAAACAGCAGCTCTCCAAGTACCAGGCCTGGCTGCAATCGTTCGTTAGGTCTTTGTTGGATGCGTTCCCCCTGTCACATGTGACTGTGAGAACACAATTTACAAGCATCTAAACTTGACAAGCACACATGCAACTGTACTCTGGTGCGCACAGTAGACTGGTTGGCAGGGGGCTGGAAGTCTCAATGCCGACTGTGGGGTGTCAACCATGACAATAGTTTACTAACTGCAGCTGCGAGCCTTCCACTGCCGAAACGGCCGGCTGCTGGCCCTTTCGGCTGCCAGTCTCCGATGTTTGTGGCATCCGGCAGGTCGTCGAGGCGTGACACACTGGCACGAAAGTATGAGCACCGATGCTGCAACGAGTTCTGCAGAGAGTTCCTGGAGATTAGACTTAGAACGCGCTACGGCCCATGCCATCGGAGCCCTCAAGAGTCCACAACCATGATATGTCCGAAAAGCGGAGCCCGCTTGAAGCCTCGACTGGAGCTTAGGACTGCCCTGGACATGTACACGGAGAAGAGGTTCGCCAAGGCTGCAGCGCAGTTCAGAGAGGCCGGCGTTGCCACATGGTGCCGCATGGTGCGGGATTCGGGAAATAAGTCCTCTAGCCACAGGAGCGTCAGGATCAACCTTTTGCCTCTTGGGCTGGGTCTCCGAAACTGCCTCACACACGTTGAAGCGGAGGGTGTAAGGTCGCCTGCTCTGAAGCAATATGGTCTGATGGGGTGTGTCTCCACGATCAGAGGCTAAGGTGAGCGCGACGTGTGAGGGCGTGCGTTCTGCAAAGCTTGTGCAGTATAGATGTGCTTAGCCGAGGGCCTGTAAGGCAACAGCCTGCTGAAGACACTTGCATGCTTGCAGATGTGGTATTTAATTACTGCTTCAGCCCGTGGATCATTGCACTGAGTTGCTGCGGAAAAGATATGCAGGTTAGCACCAGCATGGGCCAGACATTTGGGATCTACGACAAGCCCTCCGTTCTGATGAGAAAGCGGGCCGCCTACTACATGTGAGTGCCTCAGGTCACGGGATAAGCCGCTTCTGCCATTGTTCCGAAACTCACGGGGCCATCGTTGCGGGCCAATTGACAATGCTTTCGCTGAGCGTCTCAGGCAACATCCTCCACCGGAGGGTTGGAAAGGAGTTTGGACGCGGACCCGGGAACCTGATGAGACCGTGCCTGGCCTTGAGTTTAAAATCGTGCAGTGGCAGACTCTGGCAGACACTCGCTTTTCGGGATACTACTGTTGTTGTGTTCCATCTTCGAGAATTCCAGACAGAGCAGCCGTTAATTGAATCCATGAAGTCAGAATGGAACGGCAGAGAGGGCCCAATGCTGGTTCAACTCAACGACTGCAGTGGTCGTCCGTTCCCAGAGCCTCAACCACTGAGGATGGAGTCGAGGATGAGGTCGTCTATGTCTGCGTTTGATACAGGTGATTGGCCTTCAACGGGCATCATTTTCATGGTAGGTACAGCACACACACACACACCTACGCACACTGAAACACTGTGGTACCCTCGGAATGCCGGTGCTTGTGACCTAATCCTGCCTTGTGCGAGTGTGCAAGTCGAAAGCGAGCGCATGGGTCCCAGGTCCGCAGACACACCATTCAGGTCGAGTCTAGTCTAGAGTAACATGCAAAGGGCGCTGTTTTAGGAGCCGCATGCCGTGCTCTCCTTTGCAGGACAAGTTCTCAGTCAGGGTTTAGGAAGTTTTTGCTCCCAAGGAGCGATTTCCGCGCCCGCCATGTGTCTTCATGCCCTCGCCTTGCCTCTGCCCCAATATGTCGCTATCGATTTAATCAATTTCGTCGGTTATTGAGGCTTGCTGGCATCAGGAGGAGTGTTATGAGCACACTGATCCGACACGACATAGTTGCTCTGCGATTGTGGTTCCTCAGGGTTTGGCTTGCGGCTGCAAGGATCTTTTGCTGAGATGCCCCTCGAGCAGGGAGTATGCTTCTACATGGTTCGATCTCGCCTGAAGACACAGTGGCAATATCTCAAAACTGGCTCAATGCCCGTGGGTGGCCTGTCTCTGACAGGTCAACATTTGCTAAGCCGCTACCCAGAGAACAATGCGACTGCAGGGTGAAGGGGTGTGCGTGTTGGTGCCTTCATCATCTCCGGAATAACTTACATAACTTACATTTATACATATATATTATTATTGTTATTGCGTATATAGCGTCATATGGAGTCTAGAGTCTAGAGTTTTCTGTCGCAACCTTACAAGATTTCAGATTTGATTCCCTCGCCTTTCGAATTTACTGACGTCCTCGGAATGAATACTGCTCGGTTTCTATCCCTGCGACAAGTTGCCCAGCAACACGAAGCCACAATATAAGTCCACTCCGTTTGCCATGCTTTGAGCCTCCATCTCTACGTGTCTTCACAAGTGAGACGCCCGATGGATAGCAGATGCCATCTCAGCAGAATCTGGTTCCACCGACCGCCGCGGGGTAGTAGCAGACAGCGTAACTGCGAACCTCATGCACCAGCTAGGATCCCCGAACTTTAAGGCACTAGCCTGCCTTTATTGTTTAAAAGATACGTCTTCAGAGCTGGCCTGGACTCGTCCGAGTGTAAGTGTCAAAAATTTCTGATAAACATTGCAGGAGAGAGAGAGAGAGAGAGATCACAGTCCCTTCAAAGCCCCATAACACATGGGGGGTCCATGTGGCCGAGGGACCTGACAAGTCCCTTAAGCCCAGTGGAAGAAGAGAGAGAGAGAGAGAGAGACAGAGACAGAGACAGAGACAGAGAGAGAGAGAGAGGTAACGAGAGGGAGGGGGAGGAGAGCCAGAGCGAGCGAGAGGCACAACAGGGAGTCGGAGACGGACAGCGAGCCAGGCACTTGTTTACGGTGAAGGATGTGGATACTGGGTTTCGTGTAAGCTTTCGCCCCTCCAGCCCCTCCACACGTGTTTCTCAATAGCCGGGGGACCTGGCACGCCCTCGCAGCGCCGAGAGCGAGAGAGTCAGAGAGAGAGAGAGTTTTGTTGTGGGTGGTGGGCAGGCAACTCCCCACCACAGCCCTGGCGAAAGAAAGAGAGAGTTTTGTTTTGCTGGCTTCGGTGCCAATCCAAGTTGCTCCAGGAGTTCAGGTGCGTCGTCAAGCACATGCGCGGAGATAGAGTCACAAAGAGCTGTTCCAAGCCGCACGCGGTTAGAGCTTGACGGTGCGGCCACTGCGCAGCGAGGAAAAATCGCAGACTGACAGCATGTCATAGCTATAAGAAAGGATCATCTATGCCCGCCTGGCAGATGCGAGATGCAAGTTGCAAATTGGAAGATGTCTCTCAATTCGCTCGGCCGGTCTTAATTCAGCCATGAGCAGCATGCCGTGGAAAAATTGGTTTTTGTGGTTCTCAGAAGAACCCTGCAGTAGTGCTTAGACCCCAGCTCAAGCGTTTCGAACTGCCTGTCGAACAATGAAGGTCGAGGTTTGGCTTTCTGACTGCTTCTGGGTGACAGTATCTTCAAGCTTGCCTCGAATGCATGGCATAAGGAACCTGTAGCATGTCTGGTGTTCAGTTGCTTTGAGTAGGATGACTCGGCGTTGCTTTGCGGAATCCCGGCCACCCCATGCTAGAGAGTATGTAGACCCTGGCCATAGATGGTCGTTGCTTGTTTCTGGGCTGGCACTGTGACGTACGGCACCATCATACGGCCCTTGTAAGGAGTATTCTAGGGTAAGGTGATACTTGCATGTGTAACTTTCCCGGTCGACACCCCAAGTCCGGATGCAAAAAAGGGTGGACACCCAGCTAATATACCTGTTGAACCATGCTGAAAAAAGACCAGCAGCGTGTTTCACCTGGCCAAAAAGACGAGATCTGTTTCTGGCATGTGGTTCGAGCTCCTTGCTGCAGCGAAGCTGCCATGCCAAAACACGAGGTTTGATTGTTGTCGGTGCAATTCAGACGAGACAACCTGCAACAGGTACTGTAGTGTAGCGGTCGATTGTGCAGAAATCATTGCATACGTACCATCTCGTCTAGCAGGACCGCCTTGACAAGACTCAACCCGTAAAGGATGCCGTCATAGAGATTGCGGACGATAGCACACCTGGGTATTCCCTACACATCGCTCTCCACCATGCAAGAGCAAATCATGCCAGAGACAATTCGAGATGACGACCCCTGCCCGAGGGCAGCGATCAAAGGAAAACGACTGTCCGCATGACTCGACTCAGTTATTCTTTCCCCATGCAGCAATGCTCAGAGGCTTAGCGGCTTATCATCTCTCCTTGGCTGTGCTTCCCCTACCCTGCGCAAGCTCCACTGAGGCATAGGCTGCATGATTTCCAGCTTTTTCAATGCTTCCGCATTCTTCCTTGACTTTGCGGTTTTCAAAATATTCCTCATTGTGCGAGTCTTACTTTCTTGGATGCTTTACCAATGCAAGTCTCAGTGCTGTTCATCCCAAGCCGTGTCATTCCTCGATGGCCAAAGGGCGTCTGCTTTCCACGTGAATCTGCACTGCGTGAATCTGCTGCTGCCGATGTTATGATCTTGGTTTGATGTTATCCCTGCCTTGCTTCCAGAGAGCTGATCTTGACCAACTCCGGTGACATTCAGTCTTGTTGATGTTAAGATGGTCTTTGTCACGGTCGATGGTGCTTCGCTACCTGTACCTGCAGGAGTCAAACCAGCGGTGCTTAATACGACTTGGACTTAATGCGAGGTCGTGACTGTTAGTCCTTTGGACACAAGCAAAGGGAATGGTTGCAGTCAAGATCAGGGGTGCGACTATTGCCGTTTGGGGCTGCTGTCTACGAGCACGGCCATGCCATCTATCGCCTCCAACAGCCCCCAACTCCAAAGCCAAAAGGACCTTGAGGTGTGGGAGCGCAAAGCTACAGGAAACCAAAGCTCTGAACCAACCTTACTGAAGCTTAAGCCTTAAGCAACACATAGGTTAAGCCTCAGCTGATCCCTGAAGCATCCTGGGCCTCAAGAGCCACAGCTGCCAGGCCTGCCATCTTTGTCCGTGAACTCGGCAGGTGGAGAATGCTTTTCTGCGGTCCGCTCGTAGTTGAACCCAAGAAGCCGGGTTACGTACATCGCGGGCCACTGGGTTTTAGCCCACTGTGCAGATGTTTGGCTTCTAGGGAGGTGTAGCCATGGTTCGCAGTCTTACGTCGAGTTGAATCCATACACCCCTCCGCAAGCACCGAACGATCTGCAAGTCTGGGCTCGTCGCGTGCAAAGCCGGCTAATTTCTACGTGAAGTTGCGCATCAAGCACCCGGGGCCAGCGTACAAAGGCGGGTTTTGTAGGCAGGGCGATTTTGCTTCCAAAAGCAGCTGCTTGCCAGGTTGGGCCTGGAGGGAGCGTCAGGAATTGGAGTCTGAACTTTAAGGTGCTTTCGGAAGTGCCAGTTGTGTAAACGTCTTTGTTTGTCGCTTTGGGTTCGGGCGAGCTCGACGTGCGGGCCTCCGTCTTAGCCATGGCGCCTGCAAGTCGCCACCGCGCCTCCGTGCGCAGGCCTCCTGCGGCTCACCGGGTCGGCGGCTTTGAGGTTTTCAATCGTGTCAGCCTGGAAAGTTTCAGGTGCACATCGGCTTTGCATGTCGCGAGCGTGGGTTTGGTAGGACGGTCTTAGTCAGTCAGACACTTGTTCCAAGACCGTCTATCCAAGCGCTGCAGTCTGAAACGGACATTCGACAACCCTACCATGTTGAAAGGGTCTCGCCTGAACCCTGGCACATGCACGATCCATTTATCCATGGTTTCAGTTGTGGAGGCTTCTGACGCTTGGTGCCGTTGTGGCAGCGGTGGCATCCGGACTCGGCGTCACTTTCGTGGCCAGGGTGCCCTGGAGAAGATAATGTTAAGGCTACTCCGCCCGCCTCGGTTTGCCGGATAGCAGCACTGTGACACGTTACGGGAAGGCAGAAAACGGTCGGGAACAGGACCAAAGGGAGACGTGCGGGAGGGGGGGGCTGGCGGGGCGGGGCGGGGTCGAAATTCTGTCACCAAGACGCCTGAGGCCTGTGGCCTCGGCGGATACGGGGGCCCGTGGGTGGTTGTAGAGCAGGGAAACCCTGATGTTTTAGGATCCCGGTTTGCAGCTCGAGGTCTTGGATTTGAGCTCCCCAAACCGAAAGCCAATAATCCACAGCCCAATTTGAGCCCGACAGACCTTCCATTGACCGTACATTTCGGTCTGGGCCAACCCGGAAGGTTGTTTCTATCTGATTCTATCTTGTACTATACTTTGTCGAGGAAATAATGCCGAGCTCGCCAACCACGCGCTTAGGCTTGAACCGCCTCCCATAGGAGGAGATGAGTAAATGTCTCAAGCACGAGGTTGAGTTTCATTAGTTGTACATTGTGTCCGTGCTCCAGTTTGGCTTTCAAGCTTGCAGCTTTGGGCCGTAGATGCGTGCATGTAGTGTGAGACCTATGAACTGCAAGACA